CCAGCAGTTTCTTTTCCATGTATCAGAGCTGATCTTGACCAAAACACGGTTTTTATCTTCTCTTCTTTGATTCCCCACTTTATTAAGATTTTTGTTATTATCATATAAGTGAATTAAAGTTTTGTTCTTTAGATAGTAGCAATTACAGCTGGGGTTGCTAGCATTGCGGTTGGGATCGGAATTCCAGTGTTCTATGAAATCCAAATTAATAAGTCTGTAAGTTTTTCTCAGTAATTGATAGAATTCAGCATTGAATTGATTAATTAGATATTTGGGCTAAATTTCAGGATATTGAAACCAATCTATTAGCTAGTTCAACCTTGGGGAATTTTGAGTTTGCACCCCACTTTTTGGGTGATATTGGACTTTGCACCCCATTTTCAAAACTTTTAGACTTTGCACCCTATCTACAACATTTTGTGAAGAAAAATTCTTAAATGGGGTGCAAAGGCAAAGACATTTTAGGGGAAATAGGGTGCAAAGTCTAAAAGTTTTGAAAATGGGGTGCAAAGTCCAATATCACCCAAAAAAACAGGGTGCAAAGTCAAAATATCCCTTCAACCTTTACCTATTGTGACATTAAGTGTATTTTTACCGATTCACATTGATAATTCGCGAAAGAGTAGCTCATAAGGTTGTACTTGACCTCAACAATTGCTCATATTTTACTCACCTTATTGTGGTTTTAAGGTTGAGCCTCATATTCCTTATATGTTATTGGTCTTCCTCTTCGCCACCTAATTGTGATTTTAAGTTTGAAGCTTGTAACTTTAGCTACATTACGGGTATCCGCTAAGTTATATTCACCCAAAATGTATGTCCTATTTTCGACCTTATTATGGTTTAAGGTTGAAGATCATAGATGTAGTAGTATTATTCGATAAGCTGTCCAAGGCCTTATATTTGAGTTTGTACATTTATATTTGACCAGAAGGTCCTACACGAAGGTGGATCATTACAGCAGATTAATCTTGAAATACATATGCTCTTTTAGGGCCTTAATTGGATCTTTGTTGGTGATGGACTTCGATTCCATAATGAGATATATGGTTTTAGCTTTTTTTTTTTTTTTTTACATTTGAGGATGCAATCTTAAATCTTAATATATTTCACCAACATGTAAGGCGTGGACTTCCCACCTTGTAGTGATTTTAAGTTTCGAACTCTTATGTAATGTAGGGATTCTTGAGCTTATTTCAAATGTAATATAAATTAGGGTGGAGCTTGAGACTTGGTTGATTTTTAAATGTTTGTTTGGCTGTATTGTAGGCCAAACGAGAGAACACACAGCCATGCTTTCCCTGCAATGGTTCTGGAGCTCGTAAGTCCCCAAAGGCCACCACTCCCTATTCCACTCTTTACTCATTTGTTTCCTTTTTTTGGGCTTTGATGGTTTATTTGTTATTGCTAGAACAGAGATGCACTGCTATTATTTTGAGGTTGAATATAAACTTTTACAAAGAATGTGATTGTAGGGTTGGGTAATGGTTAACTGGCTATTTCATCATACAGAAGAAGTGCACTAACTTAAAGACTTGATAAGTTGGAAAAAGTTTAAATTTGATAAAATAATTCCAGACAACATCCTGAAAATGTACTCCCTGATATTCTCATGTGATGTGATTTTGATCTTATGTTTCTGTTCCAAATGATGTTTCCTTCTAATTGTAGACACGGGTAATGAAATCGGGAAATTTGTGTATGCTTCCCATGTTTAGATTGAAGTTGGACTTTGCACCATTTAGAGTTTTCACCCAAAGTCGTAAAAGTGTGGGGTGAAGTAAAATCTTGCTAATTATGGGTGCAAAATCTAAGGAAATAACCAATTTTGGGATATTGGGGCTCAAGTTAAAAAAATGATGCACCCCGCCCCCATGCCCCCCCCCCCCAGAACTGGACGAACAATTTGGTAGTAGGGTTGAATTGAGACAAAAAAAAACCGATTGATACAGGAGTGCGAAGTCCAAATTCCAAGTAAATATGGAGTGTAAGCACAAATTTTTCCTAAAGAAGTTTAGGAGATTTGTGAACTCTAATGGTATTGAATCAGGAAATTAATTAGTATCAAGTTTTTTTGTTTTCAAAAAAATAAGCATCAAGTATGATCACTTAACTTTGCATTGAGTTTCGATTTGGTCACTTAATTGCAAATTTAAAAGAAGACTGGTCATAAATGATACTCCCTCCGTTTCTAAAAGAAAGTCACGGTTTGACTTCACGATTATTAAGGAAATAAATTGACTTTACTGTAGAAAACACTGTTTAGACACTGTTTGACACTGTTTGGACACTGTTTGGCACTGTTTGACACTGTTTGGATGTAGATTTCTTTGCCAAATAAGGAAATAAGGGAAGTGTGACTTTTATTTTGGCACATCCAAAAAAGGAAAGTGTGAGGTTCTTTTAGAAACGGAGGGAGTATGTAGTAAGTGATTTGCTACTAAAATAAAGTTAGACGAGCAAAATGAACAAGGCTCAACAAAATCGAGTGTATGTGCAATGTAAAGTGACAATCTATATAAGTAATCCCGTTCCTTAAACTGAACATGTGCAAATCATTGATGTGTGAAAGGGTTATTTAGCTGTTCAAAAGTTGTCATCTTTATTACTCTAAAGTGTTTTTTTATTGTGTGTAGAAAGATGCAGATTTTGTGTGGGGACGGGGACGGTTACAGTTGAGCTTGGAGGGGGTGAGAAGGAAGTCTCGCGTTGCATTAACTGTGATGGCGTTGGTTCTATGACATGCACAACGTGTCAAGGCAGTGGTATCCAACCCCGATATCTTGATCGCAGGTACTGGGCCCAAAAGTTCATTTGGTATTTAAAAGGTTGTGTAGCTTGAAAGTTATTAGAACAGATGAACTTAAAAGTCATCCATAAAAAAATGCTTTCATAAAAGGTTGACTAAATTGTTGGTTATTTAAAAAAGCTGTTAAATCATATACACCAGCCAAATATGAAGCTAACATATAAGCTTTGGGCTACTAATGTTCATAGTGTTAATCTTTAAGAATGAAACCTATGTTTTACTGTGATACAAGAGTTGGTTAAACTTAAATGAGATTGAAAAAAGTCTCAAAGAGCACGCATGAATCGGATTTCAACATTGGTCTTTCCCAACGAACCACCTTTTTACGAGCATGTTAAACAATCCACACCGGCCATATATAAGGATACATACAAAAGTATACAAGTAAGATTTTGGCTGCTTCTCTTTTAAGGTTGATCTTCAGACTTCAAATCTTAACCAAAACAGTTTCATAGGGCACCTTTTTCAAATACCTTTTTCTCTGAAACCGGTCGCGCAAACTTCAAATCAAACATTCCTTTCCCAATTCAATAAGACTTAGAAAGAGTAGTTGAAGCCATAAGTGGTACAGAACACAGAAACAAAGCAAACCAGAGTGGGGGGGGGGGGGGGGCAGAGTGAAAAGAAATGTCTTTGTTTATTTATTTGGAGATATGCCATTTTTAAATGTTTAAATCTCGAATTTGTTTAAATGTTCTATTTATGTTTATTGAGATATATTAAGCAGGGTGTTATTGGGTTGTGCAGAGAGTTCAAAGATGATGATTAAGGTGGATTGCACAGCCCGTGGTTCCAGGAAAATCAATAGAATATGTGTAGTTGACAGGAAAATTGTTGTCCGTTTTATTTTCTTTATTTATGGTTTGAAACTTTATGTGAAAAATGATGAGGTAGATAACAATTTCCAACAAATTTTCAACACCCCATTATCGCCGAATTTCAGTTTGTTTGCTTTTGCCTAGGTAAAAAACATAAAAATGAAAAAAAAAAAAAACAAACGTCGACAGCAGGGATCGAACCTGCGCGGGCGAAGCCCAACAGATTTCAAGTCTGTCTCCTTAACCACTCGGACATATCGACTCTTGTGTACCGTTTAGATCGACTCTTGAAATATTTTAATGTTTGAATGGTAAATGGCAATGGTCTGAATAGGGTTGTAAACAAATCAAATAATTTGTGCTCGATTCGCGATTCGAATTCGTATAAGACGATTCAAATTTGGAAAATTCAAATACAAATAAAAATATTAAATTTGATTCGAGTTGTTATCAAATACAAATATGAATATCAGTGTATTCGATTCGAATATTAATCAAATATATTCGATTAATAATAAAAGTAATATAAATATCAATAATAATAATAATAGTGACACCATAATAAATTTCAAAATATAACAATATCCTTAAAGTGTAGTCCATATATACATTTTGCATACAGATTTCAAGCCATTTGTAATAAACCAGAATATAAATATGAATACAAATCAATTTTTTTAGTTCAAATGTCTTTCAAATACAATACAAATAATTGTGTATTCGATTTGAAGAATAAAATTAGAGTTGTTTGACTTTGATATATACTATCATCAACTTATTTCACACATTATAAGTATAATTTCTAATATGTGTGTGCTCATATTTATTTCAAAAAGTTTGAAATAGATTTATATTTATTAATCATAAAATCAATTCACTTTAGTATATTGTGCACCATGTAAAAATGCATCGATCCATTAAATTTAAATTCTAAAAACACATATTAAGTCATAGTATGCACTTACATCATAAAAAATACGGAGTATAAGAAAAGTTATTTTAAAGAGATATTTGACTAATATTTAACATATGCTCAAATCGATTCGATATTCGTATTTGATTCGTTAATTATTCGTATTGTTAAACAGATACAAATACAAATTGAAATTAATATTCGTTTCATATTTGAATTCGAATTCGTATTCGAAAAAATTAAACAAATACAAATGAGTAAAGGATCAGTTTGGTCCTCGAAGTTGCAAAAAAGGCGTCAAATAAGTCCTTATATAGAAGATTCTGACCGGACATGCTATTTGAGGTGGCTCCCGATGGAATTTTGTGATAATTTTTTTTGAACATTTTATTCATTAAATCTAGTTTACTCATACCAAATTTCAGCTAAAAATTTAATCGAGAAGACATTCAAATGAATTCGGCAGGGGGCGACTTTGCAGAAGGAAAGCAGATGCGCCACAAGTTTCCTCAGCGGCCAAAACCATTGTTTCGGCAAAATTGGGGATATATTCCGTCAATTGATTTTGAACAACACTCTAGGGCAGCAAATAAGGTTGGCCGGTATGATTCTGGTTGGCCTCTCTCAAATGGGTTTGACATACAGATTGAAAGTAAATCCTTTCATTTTAAAATTCTTGATTCCAGCATACATGTTTCTGAAACCAAGCTTGGAATAAGATCTGCCGTAGAATTAGATTTGGTTAGGGCTTCTTGGTTGCAGCTTTCCATTCCTAAGATTTTTGGTGGATCTTATACTAGGATTGAATTGGATAAATCATTTTGCATTCTTTATGATGCCAATATTTTTGGGGGTTATATCCGTGTTATTGAAAAGGGGTGTGATTCTTTATTTATACCCGAAGGACGAAATGGATTTGGAATTAATTTATTTCTAGCTGGGATAACAAGAGCTATAGTCATGATGAGAGACATTGCTGCAAAGCAATCAACATGTGTGCTTGCTACAGGTGAGATTTCTCCAGATTTTGTGGGTGTAAATAACTTAGAGTTGGAGTGTATGCTTTTGGATGGGGATCAGCTTGACTCTACAGAGAATGAGATCTCCATTTCGGGAGCTTTATTTAAAGTTGATATAGAGGATTTTGCCTATTATGACAACTCTTTACAGTTGATTTCTGTCAATGAGCCTGAACAGATTCTTGAACCTGATCCATTTGCAAATCTTAAGGATTTCTTTCAGATTACTCTGACAAATGGGGTGGAATCACTCTCTCAGTTTCTAACTAATGAATTTGAGAGACTTCTAATCTCAATATTGGATAGCCGAGAGAACTTGATTTTGGGGTCCACTGATGAAGGGAAAGCTACTGGAACAGAGGCTTATCCGGAGAGAGTTGATCAGAATGAGTTTCGTGCTTCTGAGTTAGGTGGTGTGGGCATTCAATCAGATTCTTTGGCTTGGGATGGTTTTTATGGTGATTCATGTGCTTCTTCGGGGGATGAATTTCTTGGTCATGTATCTGAAAATGAGAAGAGGGTGCCTATCTCAAAAGTGGGAGATCTATGGGACTTCGATACTAATCAAGATATTTGCTACAAAGCCTTACTCGTCACACGTGAAAACTGCTTGCCTACACAAAATTTGAACACTCAAAAAAGAATGTACCGGAAAAAGAATCAGAGGTCGCACCTTATGAGGACCAGATCTCAAACACGAGCGGAGCTATGAAAATTAATTTAAGGGCTTAGAGATCTCTAGGGCGGGTTTTACTTGTGTTGAATTGGGTTGGGTCTTTTCCTTTTTCTATTTTGTTTATTTGTTTTTGTTTACCTGTTCTTTTTTTTTTTTTTTCTTTTTTCATTCTTTTCCCTTCACTCTTTGTACTTTGCTTTGCTTATTATTAATAAAATTTTCTTTCCATTAAAAAAAAAAAAAAAAGACATTCAAATGAATTCTTGAAGATAACAGCGCTTTTAACGGTACAGTTATCTTCAAGAATTCATTTGAATGTCTTCCCCATTGAATTTTTATCTGAAATTTGGTATGAGTAAACTAGACTTAATGAATAAAATGCTCAAAAAATTTCATCAAAAAATTCCACCGGGAGCCACCTCAAATGACACGTCCGGATAGAATCTTCTATATAAGGACTTATTTGACCCCTTTTTTGCAACTTCGAGGACCAAACTGACCCTTATCCCAAATACAAATACAAAATCTCATTATTCGACTCGATTCGGTTCGTTTACAACCTTAGGCCTGAATGGAGGAAGGACTGGAAGGTAATTCAGGATTCACCTACAGAACAATCTCATTTACTTTTACCAAAGCATTTATATGTCCAATTTACGATGGTCTATATGTTACAGTACGAAGCATTACCAAAACCCCAGCTTTGCACGGGAAGTTCAGTAATCAATATATATATATATATATATATATATAAAAGAGGAACTTTTTAAGAGCATACAATGCGTCACATAAGCTTGCCATTTCATCATATATAATAATTAACATTATTAAGGAAATCCACCTTATTTGGTATGTTAATAAGTCTTCGGATAGGTATCTAACTTAGATTAGAACTAAGCTATAAGTTGGATACATACGTAACACAAATATTTAAAATACTTCCTAAAACCATGCAATACAAATAATAAAATCCTATGTTTATTTTAAACAAAAATAATTTTTTTATTTATACTTTGATTGTTACAAAAAATATATCAAATTTCATAAGACACCAATATTGAATATATAAAAATAAAGATAAAAATTAACACTTTAAAAAAATATGTATTTTAAAGTGCTATATCTGTTTTATTTTTACTCTGATTGTTACAAAAAATATAAAAAATTATAACTTTTTATAATCAATCAGTATGTATATACACACACACACACACACAAAAAGGATACTTTTTAAGAGCATACAATGTGCTACATAACCTTGTCATGTCATCATATATATCAATTATTTAATTATTTTTAACTTTTTATTGTTATATTACATGTTGATATGGAAATCCACCTTATTGGGTAACGTTAGCAACATCCAAACCTACGTAAAGATGCAAGCTTTATTTTAAATTTTAAATTTCAGCATTTGGAAACATAAAACCTGTTACGATTAGGCAAAGATAAACGATAAATTAAGAGCAAGAACACAAGAATTAACGTGGTTCACGCAATCGGGGTGATTACGCTAGTCCACGGCGAACGAGAGAGAGGATATATTATTATCTGCGTCCAACCATATTTACAAGTACATTAAGAGTCGTTTATATAGGTTTAAGAAAACCTAAATCAAGATTAGAGCCGCAGGCCCAAATTAAGCCTGTTTTAAAAAATCCCGTCGACTGACCCGGTCGGGTCTCTTATTTGACCCGGTCGGGTCTCCTTCACAGATTTCACACCCGGGTAGAAACCAGGTCGGGTTTCCAAAACAGAAGGCTTCTGCCTCGCTGACCCGGTCGGGTCCCTTCCCTGACCCGGTCGGGTCTCACGTCCAGTGAGCTCCCAGGTCTCTGCTTCAACATACCCGGTCGGGTCCTTCATCTGACCCGGTCGGGTATCAGTTCTGAAACTCTGAACAAGACTCCATCTTCAACAATCTCCCACTTGGAGGCTTGGTCAACAATTATCTGCCATCCAAGAACATGTATCTTCTGTAAAACCCCTGATTTCTCTCTTTCTCACTCTCTCCCGTTCACGCCTTCTCATCAAGTATCTAGAAGGCCAGTTGAAGCCATGCATAGCTTCAACTTCTCCGTTGTCACCACCTTGGTAAGCATGTCTGTTGGATTCTTCGTACCAAGGATCTTCTTCAAGTTTATGATACCGTCTTCAATCAACTCTCGGATAAAATGGTACCGCATCTTGATGTGTTTCGTTCTGCTGTGAAACACCGGATTCTTCGCGAGATGAATAGCACTCTGGTTGTCACAATGCAGTCCACAATCCCCCTGTTCCATGCCCAACTCCGAAAGAAAGTTCTTCAACCAAATCATCTCCTTGGCCGCTTCAGCAATAGCCATATATTCTGCTTCTGTGGTTGAAAGAGCTACACTCTTTTGTAATCTGGACATCCAACTGATTGCCGTACCTCCAATAGTGAATATGTAACCCGTAGTGCTCTTCCCGGAATCATGACAGCCCCCCAAATCAGCATCAGCAAATCCTTCTAGAATTACTCCATTCCTCCTGAAACAAAGAGCAGTTTCAGAAGTACCTTTCAAGTAGCGTAACAGCCACTTAACTCCTTCCCAATGTTCCTTCCCTGGATTTGACATAAACCTGCTAACAACTCCCACTGCATGAGCAATGTCTGGCCTTGTTGACACCATCGCATACATCAAACTGCCAACTGCTGATGCATAAGGAACTTTAGCCATCTCATCTTTGTCTTCATTGGTCTTCGGAGACTGCTGCTTGGAGAGTTTCAACTGACTCCCTAACGGTGTACTCCTTGGCTTGGCATCCGTCATTCTGAACTTCTCAAGGACCTTCTGAATGTACTTCTGCTGTGAAAGCTTTAAAGTACCTTCCACCTTGTCTCTGACTATGCTCATCCCAAGAATCTGTCTCGCCTCCCCTAAATCCTTCATCTCAAATTCTTCAGACAACTTCTTCTTGAGCTTGTTGATCTCCTGCATGTTTGCTCCAGCCACCAACATGTCATCAACATACAAAAGAAGAATAATGTATGAAGACTCGAATTTCTTCAAGTAACAGCAATGGTCCATCTTGCATCTAGTGTACCCATTCCGCTGCATAAAACTGTCAAACTTCAAGTACCACTGTCTAGGAGCTTGCTTCAGCCCGTATAGACTCTTCTTGAGTTTGCACACCATCTTCTCTTTACCACTCACTGGGAAACCTACTGGTTGAGCCATGTAAATGTCTTCTTCAAGGTTGCCATGAAGAAAGGCAGTCTTTACATCCAGCTGCTCCAAATGCAAATTTTCAGCAGCAACGATACCAAGGATCAACCTGATAGTAGTCATCTTCACAACCGGGGAGAAAATTTCATTGTAATCAACCCCCTTCTTCTGTTGGAACCCCTTGACAACTAGCCTCGCCTTGTATCTTTTGCTCCCATTAGCTTCATCTTTGATTCTGAACACCCACTTGTTCTCCAAAGCTTTCTTTCCCGGTGGTAGCTTGACTAAGGACCAAGTTTGGTTCTTGTCAAGCGAATCTAACTCATCCTCCATGGCCTTCTTCCACTGTATGGAATCCTTCACGGTCAGCGCCTCTGAGTAAGATTCTGGTTCACCATTTTCGGTCAGCAACAGATAATTTGCTGAAGGAGAATATCTGTTAGGAGGTCTTCTGATTCTAGTGGACTGTCTTACTTGAGGAGTAGCTGCCTCTGAATTTTCACCATCTTCATCACTCCCACTATCTTCAGACATTCCTGTATCTCCTGAGCTCCCACTGCTCCCTGAGCCTCCAGCTGTCTCATCACAACCAACAGGTTGTGCTATGTCATCTTCAGTCATCCCGTCAAACACCACTTGTTGCTTGTTTTCTGGTTGCTTGGCTTTGCTAGTTTCTGCTGCAAGACCATCTTTATACAGGGCATTCTCGTTGAAGGTGACATCTCTACTTCTGATAACCTTCTTGCTGTGATTGTCCCAGAACCTGTAGCCCATGTCATCCATCCCGTACCCAATAAAGATACACTTCTTTGCCTTTGCCTCGAGCTTGTCACTATCTGCCTCTCTAACTTTGACATAAGAAATACAACCAAAAACTTTCAAGTGAGTAAGGGATACCTCTCGACCTTTCCATTCCTCTTCTGGAATTTTGAAACCTATGGGAGATGAGGGTCCTCTGTTGATCAAGTATGCTGCTGTGTTCACCGCATCTGCCCAGAACATCTTAGGAAGTCCTGCATGCAATCTCATGCTCCTGGCCTTCTCATTCAGTGTTCTGTTCATCCTCTCTGCAACACCATTTTGCTGTGGTGTTTCTGGAACTGTCTTCAGCATTCTGATCCCCTGTTCAGCACAATACTCTACAAACTCTGTGCTACTGTACTCACCCCCATTATCACTCTTTAAACACTTAATCTTAAGATTCGTTTCATTCTCTACTGCAGCTTTGAACTTCTTAAAAGTGTTAAAGACATCGGATTTATTTTTAAGAAAATAAACCCATACCTTCCGTGTAGAGTCATCAATGAATGTGACATAGTAACGGGAACCTCCAATCGAAGAGACCTTTGTAGGTCCGTAGACATCTGAATGAATCAACTCCAGCCGCTCAGTCTTCGGTTGTTGTCCCGTCTTCACAAAGGTTACCCTCTTTTGTTTGCCTAGAACACATGGCTCACAAAAGCTCAACTTTGAATTCTTCAAATCTGGGATTTTACCCTTTGAAGACAGCATCTTCATTCCGTTCTCACTTATGTGCCCAAGTCTTTGGTGCCACAAAGTAGAGACCCCTGTATCTTCAACTGCTGTGTTTGCCCCATCTGTGGACACTTCAACCATGTACAGTGTACCATGCTTCTGCCCACGAGCAATGACCAGCCTTCCCTTTGTCACCTTCCATTGCTTGTTGCCAAAACTAACGTTATGGCCTTCCTCATCAAGCTGTCCAACTGAGATCAACATCTTCTTCAGGTCTGGAATATACCTCACATCTTTCAGCTTCCAGGTTGTACCCAAAGAGGTACTGAGATCAACATCTCCAATACCCGTGATCTCCAGGGATTTGTCATCCGCCAAACGAACTCTTCCGTTATAGGGCCTGAAATTTTTCATCAAATCCCTGCAATGACAAGCATGAAACGACGCACCTGAATCCATGATCCAGGACTCAACTGAATTCTCAACGCTGCAAATTAGAACATCTTCATAATCCTCTGCCACGTTCACCTCCTTCTTGCCTTTGTCTGCAGGGGGTTTTGGGCAC